GGGTAGACAGGCAGTAACTACACTGGTGGCAGCGCCGGTCGACATCCCTCCCTTCAAAGAAGACACCGATTTCGATGACTGGCTTTTCTTTACAAAGGCCGACCTCGAACTCTACGAGCCTGCTCGGCGAGTACCATTGCTACTTCGCGCCTTGCCCTATGACCTACGTCGGGAAGCAATGGATGCGGGTGTCTCACTCTCCTCAGATATGGAAGACTGCTGTAAGGTCCTTGTCAAACTGGCATCCCTACAGAAGGAAGCAGTTATGGCTTCAGACTTTTTCCACTGGTTACAAAAACCGGAGGAGAGTGACGAATACTTTGCAGGGAATCTCCAGGCGTTAGCCAAACAGGCATTCAAGGATTGTTATCCCCTACGGGTTGCCTCATGGATAGCGATCCAGTTCAAAAGGGGTGTACGTCCAACTGCTTTGGCGGAACAACTGGTGCAGCCATCATTGTTGGAATTGCATGAGCAACTTGGCCATGTGGGGGACAGGAAGATGCTCGACGCCACAAGGAAGAGGTATTGGTGGCCTTCGATGACGTCGGACGTTCCTGATTTCTGCCACGCATGCGCTACATGTACCAACCTGAAGAACTCGACCCGCACGGCGATAGCTCCCCTGCAGTCGATGGCCACGGGCTTTCCTGGAGAGCGAGTAGACATAGACATCATAGGTCCTCTTCCCACGACTCCGAGAGGAAATCGCTATATTTTGGTGATGGTAAACTACTTCACCAAGGTCGCGGAAGCCGAGCCTCTGCAGACGCAAGACGCTGAGACAGTAACAACCGCATTTTTCAATCGTTGGATCTGCCAACATGGCGTGCCTGATTCCGTACACAGCGACCAAGGGGCAAACTTCGAAAGTTGTCTTTTCCAAGAACTATGCAAAGCCTTTGGAATCCGTAAGACGCGTACGACGCCGGGTCACCCCCAGGGTAATGGGCAAGTGGAGAGAACCAATCGTACCCTCGTCGAGTTACTGAAGGCCTTTACCAAAGAGGTGCAGTCCAAAGATTGGGATCTATACCTAGGACGGGCTCTTCTTGCCTACCGGGCCTCCGCTCACACCTCGACTGGAGTCTCTCCATTCGAGATGCTCACGGGCCGTGAAATGAGAGTCCCTTCGGACATTTTGCTTCCACGTAAGAAACCGACAGGTGATAATGCGCCTCAGTACGTCTCACGACTAAAAGAGAATCTCAGGAAAGTTTTCGGTGTTGCGTGCAAACAACTGCAGAAGGCATACGCTAGGCAAAAGAGATCCTACGATAAATGGAGCCGAACAAACGTCTTTAAAGAGGGCGATTTGGTGCAGTTTTATAGGCCAACCCCTCCGCCAGGAACCCACCAGAAATTCTACCACGCCTGGAGCAAGGAACCCTACTGGATAATCAAAGTCCTGCCGCCCACGAATTATCTCGTTCGGAACGCGGAGATCGCTACCCGGCCTGAAACAGTACACCACAACAAGATTAGGCCATATACGGGTCCAACCTCAGTAGGGTACGAAGACGAAGCCTATACGGTACCAGAAGAAGAGGTCCCGTCCGATTGAATTCCACTGGTCAGCACCGAGGACGGTGCTTGAAAGAGAAGGGGGGCTGTGTAATATATTCTATTTTGTTTAAGTGGACTTTTATAGGCGAGAGGCGGAAACCAATTGGAGGCGTGGATCACA